GTGGTTTTTTACAATATTTTGAAAAAGCAATTTGAAAAAAATTACCAAATATATATACATATATATATATATATTTAAAAGCACTACATGGCTACACAAAATAACTCCTAACCACAATTCCAAATGCACCTTGAAAGCTTTTTGGTTGTGACTTTCTTGAACAATATATAGTATTTAATATAATTACAAAATCATCTATTAAAATCAAATCTTTTTTAATTCAATTATATCATAATTTATAATATTTTATTTAAATACCTTTTGTTTATTTGAAGATTTTATAAAAAAATTAAAAATTCATTTCCTTCTTATAAGTTACTCTCCTACAAAACTCAAAAAAACACCAATCATAAGAAACCTAAAAAATCTAAATTATTAAGAAATAGTAAATCTTTTTATTTTAGTAATTATACATCATAAATATTTTTAAAATTTTAATTAATAATTAATAAAATTTATCATATTTCATTCATAATATTTGTAAAAAATAAATAACTAAATACTAAAATAATTTTCAACCACAGTTACAATACAATACAGTTCAACACAGTCACAACTACAATTATAATTACAGTCACAGTACTTTACAATAATCTCAAACGTACCATTTTCATCACTTTTTTTTATGGGAGACATTAAATAGTATTATTTTGACCTCATTCTATTAATTTGTCTATCTTGAAAAATGATAAACATTTTTATTAAAGATGAATATATCATCTCAACATTTAATCATAAAATTTTAATGAATTCCTAAACTATCTAAATACAGGTAAGTAGGACAAGGAAAATGGAAAGGACGGAGTAATTTTTTTGACTTATTCAAGTCATCCGTGAAGGAACTCACTCCATGGTATTTCCTCCTTTCTCTGAGGCAGCAGAAGTGACTCTTCCATTAATCGATTTCTGTCCCTCTTTCCCTTTCCCTTTCCCTTAACAGTAACAAGCGATCATTTGCTTTTGAAGGCATTTCTCCTTCTCGGGCTGGCACGAAGAAAAGAATATTTCTAAATCTTGTTATGGGGTCGGTTTGTGACTATATCTATGAAGTACAACGTGACAATATATTTCACATGAGATGCCATGTAAAAAACAAGATATATAGTGTGATTATTGATGGTGGTAGTTGTACTAATGTAACTAGCACTGTTTTGGTTGAAAAGCTTAATTCACCTATGACGAAGCATCCAAGGCCATATAAGTTGCAATGGTTAAACGATTGTAGAGAAATCAAGGTAAATAAGCAAGTTTTGGTTTCATTCTTTATTGGACGATATAAGGAAGAGGTACTTTGTGACGTGATTCTTATGCATGATGGACATTTACTTTTAGGGAGACCATGGCAATATGATAGGAGGGTAACACATGTTGATTTCAAAAATCGCTTCATTTGTCATGGAGGGGAAAACAATTACTCTTGCACCATTGAGTCCAAGGTAGGTTTATAAGGATCAA